CAGGTCAGGAAGTTGTAGAGAGTGATAAGGTCACCTCTGAGTCTCCTTTTTTCCAAGCTAAACAGCCCCAGCTCCGTCAGCTGTTCCTCACAGGGCTCGTGTTCCAAGCCCCTCACCAGCCTCGTTGCCTCCTCTGGACACGCTCAAGCATCTCAACATCCCCTAACCTGAGGGGCCCAGAACTGGACACAGCACTCCAGGTGCAGCCTAACCAGTGCCAAGTGCAGGGGAAGAATGACCTCCCTGCTCCTGCTGGCCACAACATTCCTGATACAGGCCAGGAGCCATTGGCCTTCTTGGCCACCAGGGCACACTGCTGGCTCATGTCCAGCTGGCTGTCACCAGCACCCCCAGGTCCCTTTCTGCCTGGGCCCTGTCCAGCCACACCAGCCCCAGCCTGTAGCGCTTCAGGGGGTGGTTGTGGCCAAAATGCAGGACTTGGCACTTGGACCTATTAAACTTCACCCCATTGGACTCTGCCCATCCATCCAACCATTGCTGGTCTCTCTGCAGAGCCCTCTTCCCTTCCAGCAGATCAACACACACTCCCAGCTTAGTGTCATCTGCAAATTTACTAATGGAAGACTCAATACCCTCATCCATGTCATCAATAAAAATATTGGACAGAACAGGCCCCAGCACAGACCCCTGAGGGACACCACTGGTGCCTGGCCACCAGCTGGGTGCAGCACTGTTCACCACCACTCTCTGGGCCCAGCCATCCAGCCAGCTCCTAACCCAGCACAGAGTGCTCCTGTCCAAGCCATGGGCTGCCAGCAGTTCCAGGAGTGTGCTGTGGGATACAGTGTCAAAGGCCTTGCTGAAGTCCAAATACACAACATCCACAGCCTTTCCTGCATCCACCAGGTGGGTCACCTGGTCATAAAAGGAGATCAGGTTGGTCAAAAGCAACCTTCCCCTCCTAAACCCACCCATGCTGGCTGGGTCTGATACCCTGGCCATCCTGTAAGTGCTGCATGATGTCACTCAGTATAAACTGCTGCATTACCTTACCAGGTACTGAGGTCAGCCTAGCTGGCCTATAATTATCAGTTGTCTCCAGCAAGCGCATCACAAATATGCCTGGAAAAGGTGAGAAAAAATGAAGAGTTCTGCTACATCCTGAGTGATTTCCAAGTGAAGTGCCAGGGAGAATCAGATTGGTGCACTTTCTTTGGTGGTGCATTGTATGGGTTTGGTGAGCATATTTTTGCAATATTATAGGGTTGCAAGGTATAGCAGTTGTTTTGCTTGTAAACTGATGACTACATGTCTCTCAATCTGCTGTTTTCTGAGTGGAAGAATTTTTCCCAGTGAATTACTGCTCTAAATTCGTTTTTCTGAGACACTGGACCAGTGTGATTAGAATTCACTTTGCACAGGAAAGAGCTTGGATAGCTTCTGCATTCATTTTGCTTTTCTCTTCACTCCAGACACTATTCCTTCCACTCAGCAGTCACTCCCATGGATACCATTAATTTCTGATTAACCCAGGAGAACTGCCCCAAAACATGGCTTGGAGGCAGTATATTTCCCATGAATTCCTCTTGTATTACTTGCAGCCAAAACATTAAAATGTACCAATAAAGAAAGGTAAAATAAATCTTGCCTTCTGTGTATTACTTTCTTAGTCTTGTTGCCAGAGGATAACAGGCAACTAACATGTAGTTTGTGTTTCTTTGGAAGAACAACCTAGTTAATAGCATGAAAAACTCAAACATCTGAAGAAGTTCCAGCAATATCAGATGAAAACCACAATCATGCTGCTAACTCTGAGCTATGGGGTTGATGTGGGTCTTAATCTGTGCAGCATGTGAAAATGTTGCCAGTGCTGAGAACAATTTTTGCTACAACAAATATTAATATTTAATGTCTGTGCATTTTATCACTGCAGCAATAGGAGGGTAAATAAATTGTTACTGTAATGTAGAAATTTATGATGACCTTTCTTTATGGATATTAAATCAGTAGGCAAGGAGGACAGTATTAAACCACATGGTGCTCTTGGACCACCCACTGTTAACAGCTGTGTCTCTTCTCCTCCTTCTCCTCCTTCCTTCTCCTTCTCCTTCTCCTTCTCCTTCTCCTTCTCCTTCTCCTTCTCCTTCTCCTTCTCCTTCTCCTTCTCCTTCTCCTTCTCCTTCTCCTTCTCCTTCTCCTTCTCCTTCTCTCTCCTTCTCTTCTCCTCTCCCTTTTTTTAGAATGAGGTGGCAATGCTTCTTAAGCCAATATCAGAGAAGATTCAAGAAATCCAGAACTTCAGAGAAAGGAACAGAGGAAGTAAAATGTTCAACCACCTCTCAGCTGTTAGTGAGAGCATCCCTGCCCTTGGGTGGATAGCAGTGGTGAGTGACACATGGGATGGTTGGGAGGGCTGTTAATAGGCTTCTGGATGGTACGGCCCAGGATTGTTCCAAATTTTGCAGTGTTCCAGTCTCGTGTATAGTTCTTCAGTCTACTACACCCAAGAAGGTAATAAACCTAGTATGCCAGGGGAGGTGTCTGACTAATGTTTTACTTCCTTTCTCCTTCTGTTGTTTCCTGCTACCATGGGGTGATGGTCCTAGTCTCCTAAACCAGGCCCTTATGTCAAGGAGATGAATGATGCTGCTACCTTTTATACTAACAGGGTATTAAAGGACTACAAGAACAGGTATGTTGCCAAGCTCCAGTATCCACTAGCCAGACAACAGAGCATTAACCATACAGTAGGTTTCACAGTGCTGTCAGAGAAAGTATTTTGTAAAATCAAAAGCACTTGATAAAACCTTCTTGCGGTAGTATAGTTTTCCCTCCTCACCTCTGACCTGCAGCATGCTGCAGTGAGAATAGCAGCAGCATTAGCAGTGCTGGATTTCACTCTCTGCACATTTTAAGATTATTTTTAATTTTTCTGGTATTCCAGCATCGTGAGCTTATATGCAAATGCCTATTTACATAGTGACGTGTGGCTAGCTGGCTGCTGTGCATCCTCCTCTTGTTTGTGCTCTCAGACTGTTGCTGTTCTTGCTCTTGGCTGGAAAATGTGTATTTAGGTGGTACATATATGCACCTTCAGATTCCATAGCTCCTAATTTGATTTTTCTCTGCACCACTTCACTGTTCTTAAAGAGCACAAGGAATTCTCAAAAAAGGTTCCATGAATGATATCTGTGAACTGATGGAGAAAGAGCAAAAAATTCAGGTCCTTCTTATGCCCTCTTTGTAAAGTCATATATAAATCCTGTTGACTTGGTGCTTTTGAAGGCCAGATTTTGGCTCTTAATTTTTATATCCCAGTGAAGAATGTTATTTACTATTGAATTTTTTTCTCTTTAGTGAGGAAAATTTTAGCTATTAAAACTTTCCACATGTATTTATATTTCTCATACATGTATAAATATATATTATATACTATATATAGTATGTTATTTTATATATATTATATATTCTTCCTAAAGCCCAAGTTTATCTCCTGAAGGTAGTAACTGATGCTGGGGTAACTGATGATTTTTACACCATAGCATCAGTACTTACACTGGAGAAAAAAATGTCTCATGTAATGGTATAAATAGAGTACATTATTTAGGTATTTAGTTCTTCCTTTAATAAGGAAATCTTTTCCTGTTTTTCACTGAATCAATCCACAATGTCTGTATGTCTTCCACAAGTATGGAAGGCTCTCTCTTAACTTCAGTAGGCTTTGGATTAAACCTGTTGACCCAGGTCCTCCACATAATTAAGGATCAAATTCAAAGAAAATAAATAGAAGGTAGACACACAAATCCTTGTAAGCCATCACTATTCACTAGTAATTTGTTCTAACTGTGGATTTCATCTTACAAGCAGTTTCTCTCTACATATTTCCTGGTTTCATTTATAGTCCCATTGGAGGACTAACAATAACGATTCTAAAGCAAAACTGTGACTTGTACTTTAAAAATTCTTGATGCACAAATATTTAAGTCTGATGACTGTAACATGACCTAGTATTGCCGTGGCCACATTTTGAATGTGGCAGCCAGAATATCTTACAGAATCCCTGGATATTAAATTTTCTAAAGTTCAGCACCCTGAAACTGAGTCTGGGTACCTGCTGAACATCTCAATGTGCCTTTAGTGCTTTTTCAGTTGACTTTGAGACTGAGAAGAATGGTGACACACACTTCTAGCAGGAAACACTCTCTGCTAGAGGCATCCTTTGCCCTTGGTTTGTCCTCTAGAAGGATCTCGATGCTTTCCAGTGTAGTAGCTTCAGTCTTTGCGGCAATGGGCTGGTTTGCTGCCTGCTAACTGATTTGTCCATGGCTTTAAGGCAGACATTGGGTTTTACCTGCTTTAAGCAAGAGCAGCACTGCTCTCTGTTTTTAAGTACATTCACACATAAATATTGCCTCTGTTTTTACAGTGACACACGCCATGTTGATTGGGTGAAATCATATCTGAACATCTGGTCTGAGCTCCAAGCTTATATCAAAGAACATCACACCACAGGTCTCACCTGGAGTAAAACTGTAAGTACTCTTTCTTTCTTCAAGAAGAATCATAAGAAGCCAGTAGCTAGTTTCTCTTTTCATGAGGGTCATTAGCTCAGGAAAAATAAATATGTAGGACAGGAAAAGAAGTCATGGTCCATGGATTTCCTAACCAAGCCAATAAATGTTTGAAATATAGGTGGAGATGTTCAGGCCATTGTGGTAGAGGTTTGGAGGAAGAGAAAATAATTACTTGGGATTATTATAGCCATAACCATTAGCTGCAGAGGGTAAAGAGAAGCAGACACAGTTCTCCATGCCTGTAGAAGGTAGGAACAACAGACACAGTTCTCCATGCCTGTAGAAGGTAGGAACAAGACAAAATGCAAAAAAATGAAGGACATGTCAGACCAAAGGAAAACTGAGGGAGCATGTCAATGGAAAGGAGAAGAGTGGTGGGAACACACCCACCACCTGAACAATCATCAACACCCATCATCTGAACAATGAGAGAGATTTAATATCTGAACAATGAGAGAGATTTAATATCAGGAAAGACAAAGACAAGGGATACATAACTTCATAGATGGCTAGCTTTATTAAACTATTATTTTAGACATACAGAAATAACTTCTGGAAACAGAGAGAGTAAATATAACTGTATACCTAATTATTTATGTTCCTTATATAACCTGCTTCTGTGTATTGCATGTGAGATGATAGCAATGAATATTTTTCACTGAGAGGTATAAACATGAAAAATTAATTTTACGTTGGGTATAAATGTAAGAGTTTATGCCCTCTGTCTACATTGATACAGTGTTCTATTTTACTTTATTATCAAATTTACTTTATTATCAGATTATTATCAGTTTATTATCAGATTGGAAGAACTGCTGAAATACATTAAAAATGTAATCAGCCTGCTCTTTACTGATACCATCTCCTAAACCTACTGTATACACTTGCACATGCAGTTTTTCACACCAAATTTATAATTTCTTCGATGTACACAAATGTCATTATTTTTAATTGAATGACTATTCAGAGAACTAATAGAGGCCACCATTTAGTTCTCAAAACCAACAATTTTAAGAACTTGGGAACATAGGGAAGTGAAGTAGAACTTTCAGATTAATGGCCTTCCAGTGTATTCTGTGATTCTATGAAGTGTAGCTTAACACGGAATAAGAGCTGGAACACCTTTCCTGTGAAGAAAGGCCAAGAGAGTTGGGTTTTTTTCAGCCTGCAGAAGAGAAGGCTTCATAGAGACCTTTTTGCAGCCTTGCAATAGTATATAAAGTGGGCTTGTGAGAAAGACTGAGAAAGACATTACCAAGGCTTGTAATGACAGAACAGGGGACAATAGTTTTAAATTGAAAGACTGAATATAAGGAAGAAATTCTTTATTGCGTGGGTGAGGAGACACTGGAATAGAAGGAGACACTGCCCATAGAAGGTGTAGATGCCCCATCCGTGGAAGTGTTCAAGGCCAGACTGGGTGGGATTCTGATCAATGTGGTCTATGAAAGGTGTCCCTGCCCATGGCAGGAGCTTGGAACTGGATGATCTTCAAGGTCCCTTCCAATCCAAACCTTTCTCTGATTCTGTGGTACCTGGAAAAGTTCCTTTCTCTCTCCCTTTATGGAGGTTATAACCATGTAAGAAAATGTAGGTTACTTGTGTTCAGCAACTTCTCTTCATACCCTTCATGAGACATTGTACAAGGCCTTTTCAGTTCTCAAGCATTTGAGTGCAAGTTCAAACACAGGAGAGAGCAATGATCTGAGTGTACATCTTAGTCTGAAGCGATGCAAAAATGTTTGAACATGATAAATTAGAAGACTGTAATTATTGACTAAGTTGTAGGTTTCTATAATAAAAATTTTAAATATTAAACATAATTCCTTTATTTAGTACAATATTTCACACTAGGTACATCCTATTCTATTATGATCAGTGAATGTGAGAAGACCTAATGATTTTTCAATTATTATTACATAAGGAAAAAGGATTGTAGTTCCCCATTAGCTGAATTAGCCTGAGAATCTGGGACAAAATTCATTCTGTTAATACAGAAAAAGAATATTCTTCACCTTTAATAGAACTTCACAAGTATGGAAATAGTGTTGTAAGGTAAGGGTTTGTTACAGCCACTTGATCAAATAGGAGGAGCTCTCAGTGCTGGTGAGTACTGGTAGTTTTTCTCAGAAGGGTAGCTGTTGCAGGTTAAGTTTGACTGGTCCTAAAACCAGTACCTCATCCATTGTATCTTTATATTTCTCTGTCTTCAGCTGTCCAAGAAATTGCTGAAATCTAGGTGTGACTTGTTTATTTATTTCCTGCCAACAATGCTCATTCCATCATGAGTGATGAGCCCATCATTGCATCTGAAGTATTGATTTCACTTTACTTTGGATATCACTCATATCTGGAAGTTGTCTTGGAAGTATGGCTCTTTTAAATTGTCCTCTGTGTGATGAGTCTGAAAGATTAAATTTCAGACTCATTTTTATGGATGTATATTTTTTTAAGTTTTACTAAATGTGAGTCTAAGAAAATTAGAATCCAGTAAGTTATCAGGTTGTTTAAATAGCTTAAATGTTATTTAAATATTTCTATGAAGCTTGGTAACAAATACATTCCAGAAAGCAATGAGTTGCTCAAGTGATAATTTCATTTTTGTTACACATTTTAAAGTGAGAATGAAAGTCACAGATTCACATTGTGTGAAGTTAAGCATAAAGGTCTGCAGAATCGGGGTCTAGACAGAAGTATGATATATATAAAAGCTGTAGATATATTCCAGACACAGTTGTTAATCATTGCACACAGCAGCTTCCACTTAAATGCATAAAAGGAAAAAAGGAAAAAGCAGTAGTTTGGCAAGGCATTAACAAATTGGAACATTTATGAAAGGTAGACATTGGTGTAGAAAAGGTATTTCCTTACAGAGGAAGATAGAGAGAAATGTCTTGGGGCATATAAGTACAGATTTAAAAGTGTGTTATACCAATAATTTACCCTTCATATCTGCAGAAGTCAACAAAGCAATGCATGAAGTTTCTATAAAAACCTCTTAAGTAACACATTTGGATATTTCTAACAAGAGTGAAGAGTCAGGAAGAATGTTAACTACTGCTTCTCTCTCAGCTGTATTGTAATTGCTTGAACTCCAGCAAACCCCCAGGAGCATAAGCCTAGATCAGAGGGTTTCCTATGCTTGGGTTTCCAAAAAGAAGGGGACAGGATTTCTGAGTTGGAGCTTGGCCCCCTAAGCTATGGGTGCTTATACTGTGGTGTGTACATTTATGTCTGTGCAATTTCCCAAAGCTGTGCCATTTCCAGCCTCCCATACCCTTCAATCAGGCTGCACAGGGCAGCTGCAGCCAGCCTTGGAACAGATCACTAGTGCATACAGGAAAGTGTTCTTGGCTCTGGCAGCAGGCATACAGGCAGACACTTAAGAGGAAAAAGAAAGAAATGTAATAAATTAGAAGACACAAAAATAGGTGCAAAGCATTGAAATACTGTCCAAGCAGTCACTTCTGATGATAACAGTTATCTCTATCTGCTTCATAAAAAGTTTGTGATAAAAGCAGATGTTCATGGATTTTTGGATCTAACAAAGTTCTGTCTCACTTGGGTTCTGTCCAAGATGTGTGACAATATTTTACTTCTTAAGGGCATCCTATTGAAATGTGTGTGACTGTGTGAGGAGAAAGCCAAGGAAGAAGTGAATAATACAGTGCATTTAAGAATACACTTAGAAGGAAATAGTGTAGTTAAGGACCTATAGACTTTTGAGCATCTGAACCCATTTTGCTCCTCATGTGGAGTGGTGGTATAAAACTGGACTGGACTATTTAAATTTGTATTTCAAGGCATGATGAATATGGTTAGGATATTCGATGGTACTGTGCTCACAGAATGAAAGAACCTATTTAATGTATGTTTGTGAGCAGGATTTAATCTGAAATAGTAATTTCCATTGATTGATTGTGTATATGTAAGAGAAAACAAGCTTGTCAGTGCAAGACTGATGGATCTACAGTATTTCCTTAAAAATGTAATTGTGTAGCTTGTTATCTTGGATGCAAAGTGTCCTTCTGTCTCCTACACCCTGTGCTGAGTGGTCACTATACTCACTAAATCTCAATTTAGCCATCTTGACATTGTGGACAATAGCAATTACCAGCCTAATGGAGATTTGTTTTAATTTGCTACCAGATATGACATTCTTAGATGTCAGTGAGTCTTTGGAAAAAGCTGTTGTTACAATGAAATATTTTAAGTGCCCAGGGTGGTATTTTACCTATGCAGTCATTTTTTCTTGCTACAGCTTTCTGTCTTTAACAAGCAGTCTGTATAGTGACCTGTCCTTTTTCAGTTCTCTCTGATGAAGAGCAAGTGCCTTTTTTTCCTTTTTTTTTTCCTTTTTCCTTGAAGAAGGGATTCTATTGAAGCATGCCTCTTTCTACCCTCCACATTTTTTTGGTGATGAAAATAAATGAACAGCTGTAATATAAGCTCACAAGAATGCCTAATGAAAAGTTTGTTTGCTACAAGGCCTGCATGAGTAGTCTGGGGGAAGTGAAACTTCTGGTCCTATTTCTGCAGGTTAACCTTGCAGCAAGAAAACAACCAGTAATAATGAGAGACTGCTGTAGTTTTCCATATATCAAGTGTTAAGACACAAATCTTGCTCAAAAATATTTGAGCAAAATTGTCTTGTACAATTTTTCCAGGTGGATCTGTACTTAACTTTTTGTTCTTTGTATACAATAGTACTTTAGGATAGATTTTACCAGCAGGTATATTTACAAACAGGAAATATTTAGAAACTAGAAGTGAATTTCATTACAGTATTTAGTTTCTAATACAGAATTTCACTCAAGTGATGAGTGAAATCCTCTCCCCCTTTACAAATCAAAACAACTTAGGATGAAGTCTACACATTTTTAAAAGCAGTTGAGACTTATTTAAATCCTGTTCCCATTGAAGCCAGTATCTTCAAGTATTTTTTCTCCTGAAATAGCATTTTTAAAAACATTTATTACTCCTTAGATAGTACTCTAAAAACATTCTTTAAAAGCTGAAATTCTCCACAAGCTCCACACCGAGAAGTACCATCATAATTCCTACATTAGCCTTATTGAGTGCAATTATCCTAGTCTCAGTGCAGACTTGGGCATTTTATTTTAGTCTAAATAATTACCTCCAGACATTTTCTTATAAAATGGCACTGCCTCTCTCCTGTTCTATCAAAACATTTTCCTGTAATATATCGTCTCTGTACATACTGATGTGAACAAGCTGCAAAAGACCAACTTCTGCAGGCAAAAGCCTCCTATTATTTGTCCTGTATCTCTTCTGTGCTGTGTTTAGTTTGACCTACTTATCAAGCAGCCATCGTCTGAGCCACTTCACTAAAGCTAAAGGTCAAAACTCTAGTGCCAAATTCCAGCCACAGCCATGACTGCAATCCCAGAGGCCTTATTCAGATAGAAGTAAGGGCAGCATAGATATACCAGTTTAAATGGCTGTATCTTGGATAAGATGTAGACATTTCCACAGTGCTCAGTTTTTCTCAGTGACAGCCTTTTCTCTCAATTTCTATATACCTTCCATTCCTTTCTCTACCCTTCCTCTTCTCTACTCCCTGTTCCCTTACAATTTTTTGTTGAAAAAAACTGCATCCTTTAGTTGCAGGTGTTTCTTTCTCGGAGAATAGGCAGTGTTCTGGTTTTTGGTACAGGATCAATTATGAAACTGGCTATCCTGGCACTTCTACAATAGTTGCCTCTTTGGTGGAATCTGTGTCAGTCACATCCCTGTCCCTTTGAAAGAAAATATTTTTACTAAATTGAAAGTATGCCAAACAGAGAGAAAGGGAAAGGTATACCTTGCTAAAGGGATTGGTCTTCTTTTTAACCAAATTTTTCTATAAGTAAAAGATGATTGAATCTACCTTTTGGAGCACATTACTTGTTGGCAATTACATTATCATATGTTCTCAAATTATTTAGAAGACCATGGCTGTATAAACATTTCTGGTTGGGTAACTCTGAAGATGTAAGCGTAATTTTAAATCCTGAACAGGTGATAAATGGCAAAAGCATACTACAGGGGGCTGCAAAGCTTGAAAATTCTACAGATGAATAATTCTGCTGAGACTCAGTAACAAGAAAATAACCTGGCCTGTTTTTTTGTTGTTTTTTGTTTTAACTGACAAAGATTACAGGCCCTGTAAGTCTGCTATTTCATCCAGTAAATTGCAGCTCTTTGGGCAGCATAACTCCTTGCAGACAGGTGGCTTGAATAGGGTAGGTAATAGAACTGTTGTGCTAAGCTACTTTTACCAAAAAAACACCTTAGCCCCTGAGTCACAGTCCACCTGTTCCCAGAGGTTGATATATGATATTTTGAACTTCACAGTTCTTGCCTTTTGCTGTGCATATGTATGGAAAGAACAGTACAGAATGCTGTAATCATTTTAGGTGTGAAACTAGGATTACTGTAAAGGGGGAGAAAACAGGGATAGCCTTCCCTTTTTTTTTTTTTTTTTTTTTTGAGAAGAATGTATTCCCCATTAGGATTCCTGTTTGTCTGCTGTCATGAAAAGGCTTTTCAATAAATTAAGGGAGGGATTTCATGACCTCCCTCTAAGCCACCTGTTGCTTCATCTGCAAATAGATACTTACCTCTTAATAGGAATGACTAACAAAATAGTTCCTATATTATCATACACATGCATATATCATTTTATTTATGTGCATTATATAGATGCTTATAATGTTCTGGCTCAGAGTAAAATCAAGCATTGCAGCTACAAGAAATGCATTGTTCAGATGCCTCTCAGCAGGTTGCCAGCACAAGAACTTTGTTCCCCTCAATTTCTGTGCTGCACTGTGTCAGCCAAAAGCTGGATAAACACAGAGGAACGTTGCGGGTGTTTGTACAGGGTCTGGCACATAAGCCCCTCATATCCCCAGAGATAGGAGCCTCTGACTGCGGCTCCTTGCTGCTGCAGTACTACAAATATAGTAACAGTGACATGGAAGGCTAACCCAGGGAGCTGTTCAACAAGAATAGCTCAGGAAATAGTAACATCTGCGATAAGACATGAAAAGAAATTCTTACTGTCTCTCAGTAGCTGGGTTCAGACACGTCAAGCTGCATACAGCCACCAAAAATTAGTGATGGAATGGCATCCAGAGCACTTGTGTTATATATGAACAGCTTTTTATTTCTCTAACAAGATTGGCTTTGCCCTGTGCTCCGGGGGAAGGAAGCTTTTAGGAGAAATGTGCCTAACAAGGCCCAGTTTCTGAAAAGCAAAGGGCTTCACTCAGCTCTGCTGCAATTTCAAGGGAATTAAATGAGAATTTCAGCCAGGCAGCTATCTCAACATAAACAATCATTACTTTCTTCCAGCGAGCCTGTTAAGTGAGAAAAAAATGTGTAACTCACCCTTCTGCCAGTTGAATAAGATGAAAGTAGAAATATATTTTGAGGCTGTACCACAATCCTGCAAACCCTTGCACAGTGACATTTATCAGACCCAGCACTGCGAGCAGCATCAGACACTGTCGCTAAAGAAAACTTCTGTGCCACAGTGAATGAGAGGCCCTTGGGCAGATGCAGATGGCTTAGGGTTATCCAGCAAGGAGCAAACCCTGACCCATTCCTTTCACCCCATTTAGAGCATGGTTGGAAGCTGAAGACAATTTTTTTCCCTGAGAGGAAATTTGTGGAATGTTTTATCACCTACAGAGCTCTTAGTACATGGTCACAGGGCCTGCATCTCCTGTTCCTGATAGGTCCTTACCCAGAGAATTGCATTTTCTTCAATTTCAAAAAGCTCCAGGAGCGTGGTTCAAAGCACATCAAGTTCACTATGATGCAAAGCTACCAGGTTAAAAGTTAAGGCTTACTTTTGTGTTACATTTTTACTCTATCTCTTCCCCTGCTAATTTTCACTGAGGGCATATTTGTAAATGATGGAAAAATGATCACATGGACATGTTAACGGGAGCAGTCAGCTATCAGTATAACTTGACGTGATGTCTGCAGACACCCCAGCACTAAGAACAGCAGCTGTTGCCAAGGCAAACAGCTGAAATAAAAGAGGAAGAAAGGCAGCTTGCAAACAACTGCCTTCACTGGTCCAAATGGCTCTTAATACTTTTTATGTAAAGACACACTGTTGTTAACATCTGCGTGAAGTTAATCTGAATAGTTGTTTGCAAATAGAAAAGCTGCTAAGCACCTGCTGCTTTAGGATAGATGAACTTTTGTGGGCATGTAACATGCTATTTTATTTCCAGCAGCTCTCACAAACACCACCCTATACAGAACAGAAATGAATGGACTTTGTGAAGGGAACTTTTGTTGAAACTGGATAGGACTATACACAAGTCTTACAGATACCAGAACAGTTTAAGAGCTTGGTTCAGAAATATTCTAGAGCCTGAGGTTGTAAGTTGTCTTAGACTAGCAACTAAGGAAAGCAAAGTAATTGGCAGTGACTGAGGTTGGTAACTTGAAGGTTCATTTTTTAATAGATGTCAAAATGAATTTTAAAAAAAGTTCCTGAGACTACTTGGCTGATTTTTAAGTTGCCCTTTACATCAGTGCATTTGAGTGCAGCACAGGTCCCATTTTCCTGGCATGCAGGCAATGCAAGTGAAATGTGTATTCTGTATTTCCAGTTCACTTTTATGCTTTCTATCCCCTTTTGAGAGTTTCCCTGAGCCACTCTCCCACAGAGAATTTCACCTCATTTGTTTGGTTTCAATTAGGTATATCAAAATGGCAAAGAAAAGAAGACTGTAGCCAGAGTTGGACTGCACCCTTCTTCCCAGCAGTGAAGTTAGTGAGACTTGTCTGGCTTTTCCATGCTATTTTAATTCCATGGGGGATTGTCCTACTGGAGGTATCCATGCTGTGAGATGGGAGATCTACTGAGTGGAGCAGCTAAACCCTGTACTTTAGAGACCTTTTTTTCTGTGATTTGTCCTTCAATTTTGCCTAGCCTAATCTGTGATTGAAGTTGTTTGCAGTTTCCAGAATGGCCCTAGATGATGAAAGTAGCATGCTACAATATCAGTTAGCTTGTGTAGCTGTAACTTAGATCTTAAACTAGACAAGATTTGCCATGCAGGAGAAAAGCTAACAACCAGGGTTCAGTCTGTCTTTTATTTCTGTGACTGTACAAAATTAAGAGGAGAAGTTGGAAGGGTGACAGAACCTCAGGTGTCTTTATCTTGTGACAGCTTATATGTTCTTAATTAGGTCTAACTCAAAGTCTTTAGTGCTCAGTGGAGATAACCACTGACTTTGATGGAGGGACCAGGCTTGTAAAGAAAAGAAGAGGCAGATGGGCAGCATGAGTGCAATGAATACATTATTTTCTTAGTTTTGAAACCCACTTAAAGGACTAGAATGTCTTAGCTGCTCAGGCCAAAAATTGAGATTCTTGAGTAGACTTGTTTTTTCATGAGTACTTTTCTAAAAAGAAAAAAGCTCCTAGTTTCTCAGATCCTTTCCTACATCTTCTCTTTATTGAAAATAAATAAGACAGCTATCTCCAGTCATACAAAACCATGTCCAAACTTAACTGATGTGTTTAAAGTCCTTCCTTTTATCTGTACTTTGACAGGGTAGTTCTTTCAAGGTTCTGGGAAAGAGATGACCCACTTCCACCGGTAAACCCCTCTGAGTTTTACTTCCATCTAATTACATGGATATTCCCATACTCTAGTTGCCATTTGGGAAACTGCCTTTGATGCACTACTCAGCAGCATTATTTCAGCCTGGAGTGTCCTGCATTGATCTGTGATGGTCTTGAGTTTGACACTTGAAGCAAAGGGACTGCCAGAGTGACCTACCATCTGTGTTAGATGCAGAATAACCAGATAGCTTCCAGAAATTTTTTCTTTACTGCATCTTTGCGGCCTTTGCACAATTTAGATGGTGATAATTCTAAATGGATGTGTGAGTCTTACACAAGTTTCTGGAAAATCACAGCACTGTATTGATAGGCAGGTGGAAGCAGTAGGTATTTTTGAGAAATCAGATGTCAGTCTGTAATGTGGCAAACAGATTTTCATCTCAGACTAAAAGTTATTAGCCACTACCACTACTGCTATTAATTGCCTTTCATAAAGCATACATAATTCATAACTGCATGTTCACACTGTGAATAGTGAGTGCCATTTCTGAGTATCTGAGTGTTTTAAAAAGCCTTGAAAATGCAATGTTCATAATTCTGGATAACCAGGGCATAGTGGATTCAGTTGCCATGGTTGCAGGCAACAGAAGGGGAAGATCTGTATTGCACCTCAGACAGCAATAACTGTATCACTAAATCCACTTACATTCTTTTTTTTTTAAATTAGAATAATTCACAGTTTTGCTGACTCTGCTGCAGGTAATTTCGCTGGCATTAGCAGAGGCAGGGAACAGGCACTATAAATTGAGGGCTCACTGAAGAAGTTGTCCCCAGCCAGAAACACTGACCTATAACAAGGAAGTGTGTAAGTAGAAGCTCTGAGTTAAATGTATCCATGCAACAATGGAATGTCTCTAAAAGCAGACGACTTCAGTCACAGTATATCTTGACAATAAATGATAATTAGTTCCAAAAGGAGAATCTTCTCATTTGTTTACATTAGATTAAAAAAAATTTAGTAACAGGAAGAGAGCTTATTCCCCTAGGAGATCTTGGACTTTTATTTTGTTTTTAAAGTATATCTGAAGAGTAAGTGAAAAAGGAGTGTGTGGACCTCAGCCATTTTCCTGTTATCAGTTTGGCATTACAGGCCAGAACAAGTTTTACTTTTTAAAAAATAGCTGTAGTTTTCAGTCCTGTGAGATGCACGAACCAAATCAATACTTTGCTGTTTCTGTTTAGTGGAAAGCAGAAAGAGTAGTACCATAAATGGTTAAAAATATCCTCAGAGGCCAGCAAAGCAGTATCTGTTTCCAGGATGGATTACCAGGGGTGCACTAACAACCTCTACTCTTAACAAAGATAGCCAGTTTAGAAGAGCAGTGGCTCCATAAGTTGCTGTAATTTTCCCATTGTATCTGCCCACCTGTTTGTTTTTGCTGCTGCAATGCACAGTACCTCTGTAGCTAGCTGAACTTGTCAGAACCAATCTAATGTTCTCAATCGTTCTTTTACAAGTTCTTTCTGTGCTGCAGAGAGGTAGGATCAGAGTGACACTCAGTGGCAGGATAGTAAAAGTCATTCTCAGATTCTCTCTAACATCTATTATAGAATGTTAGGACATTCTTACAAAATTTTAGTCAGATAATTATTAGTATTTTCTGTCTGTTTAATAATACTCTATGTAAGCATTGTAATTCAGACCAAAATATGTACTTTCGGTTATGCAAACTGAAAGATTGCTTTACTTACTTTGCCAGGGCTCCCTTCACTCATAATTTGTGTGTTGTGATCTCCTGCAACTGAAAAAAATAAAAAAAAGGAAAAAAGAATTTAAGAAATTTAACTAAAAACTCAAAATTGTATTTCAGACTCAAGAGACTTGAATCACTATAGTTTTACATTCTGTGGTATTTGCATCTTTACAAGTAACTTGCACAATTCAAAGAATAGTATTTTTCATCTTGCATACAATTTATCATGTTCCCTACATATAACTGACAGTTCCTGACCCTCTCAGTTATTTGTGTTGTACCAGAACATTTTATCTGAAAGGAAAAAAATATAATAATAAAAAAAAATCATTTTTCTTTTTATGTAAGTATACACTAGAATAAATTGTGGAATAGTTAATGTTAAAGGTCTTTAACATCAGCCCTTAGAAGTGTTTGTGACAAATAATTTAGGTGGAGTAGTTCTGCAGTAAGGGTAGAGTGTGGGCTGTCAGGCTTTCTAGCTGTGCTTGCTCAGGTGCAGGGAAGGATTCATAGGATTACATTAGATTATGGAGTCAGAAATTCTCCTGAGCCTGTGGCTTTCTAGAGTGACCCAAACTCACAGCATTCCAAGATGTTAATAAGTAAGAACTATTGTCATACAATATTTCTTAAAACACTCTATGTAAAATAATTTCCCCCTGTCTCAAACAGGGTCCTGTTGCATCCCCCATGTCCATGAGATCAGTTCTAACCAGCGGCTCCTGCCTTTCCCCGCCACCTCCGCCACCGCCGCCCCCGGGACCGCCCCCCATCTTCGATACGGAAACCACAAAGGACGAAGGAACTGCATCTCGCTCAGCCCTCTTTGCACAGCTTAACCAGGGAGAGGCAATTACCAAAGGTCAGGAGAAAAAAAATAGAGTTGTGATCCAGGAGTCAATCTATATCAAGAGCTCTTGCATTCACAGCATTTTTAAGTTACATTCTAGCAGCTCAGATCCTTCTGAGGCTTACAATGGTCCGATGGAGAAGACTGCATACCAAACCTCCTTTAGAAACCACAGTACCCAAATAAGTTCAGTACACCTGACATTCACACCATTTTGAGGTATCTTTAATTTTAAGGCAGCCAAGCTGGATATCTTCAGCCCCCAGTAACTGGTCAATCTCTTGTGATTGCAATAAGGTTTTATCCCTCTTTCTGACTCACACTCAGTGTACAAACCTGTGTCAAAATGTCTTACATGTCAGGTGAAATGAAGCTTTTTTGTATTAATATTGGACAGTTGTAATTTAAGTGTATGTCTGTGAATTTAAATACATATGATTGATACATTTGCATTTAATGCTGCAGAGATAGGTCAAATATTGTCATAAATTAGAAAGAGAAATTCTGTTTTATGAATGGAAAAACATGATAAAAGGTCATTGCACAGGTAAACCTTGAGGAAATAAAAAAAGAGTAATTTCAGAGAATAATACAATTACAAAACTTTCATGCATCAATACGAGCACTTCTAGGATTGGAAAATAACTTTTCTTTCACAAGCACCCTTTTTTTCGGTTTTTTAGGGCTTCGACATGTCTCTGATGACCAAAAGACTCACAAGAACCCCAGTCTACGTGCCCAAGGTCCGCCTGTTCGTTCTCCAACAAAAAGCCATACTCCAAGTCCTACCTCTCCCAAGAACTCCCCACAGCAGAACCATGCCCCTGTCTTGGAGCTAGAGGGAAAGAAGTGGAGAGTGGTGAGTTCCAATCACATCTCTGAATTGTTCTTTGCACATTGCAAACCAGAAGGAGCAATGAAACATCTTGTCTGTCACTAAAATGCAACAAAACAAAGTTGCAACTAAAATGGGCTGAGTCCTCCATTTCTCTGCATTGCTGCAGTTCAACTTTTACTATTCTGTAGGATCTTAAGTTAATTCATTTGTCTCTGAGAATCACTTATAAATTCATCTCACTGGAGAACATCAGAACCAGCATATAAATTCCTTGCAAAATCAGACAATGCCCCAGAAACAAGTTCAGTTGAGAACACCAATTAAAATCCCTTTCTGCAGGTCATTCCTGTGAATGAGAGAACTGTCATCACCCATTCTCTCCAGTTTCCCTAACCAGTGGAATGATACATATGGTTTTCATTGCCCATTCCATGCAGTCATGTCTTCAGTGCTTAAAAGTAGAGGAGTGTTCTCCTTTTTCCCAATCTACAGATGGAAAAAGGAGATTGGTTTAAAGTTTGGGTGTTAATTTATGTAGGCATATACCAAAGAATCTATGAATGAAAATTGATGTGACTGTGTTGGCTAAGAGGGAGCAGAAAGAATATGCAGTTTAGTCATGCAGAAGGTTATATACACAGTCAGTGTATATTACAGTGGAGTCCAGTTTGCATAAGGTGCAGTCACTGTTTGCCTGTGTTATGTTGCCTTACGGTTCTACTACTTGGCACTTTCCTTGTGGATCCCTAGCCTTTCTTGGACATCCATGGACTGTAATTGTTCTTTTAAGAACTTCTAATGAACACTTCTAATGAAAGGAGTTTCTTTGCCTATTACTCCTTTATTGTATATGGTAATGCCTGTATGTGTTCACAATATGCTGTATCAAACATTATATAACACTCGGGGAAGGAAAACTTGCTCTGTTCCACAGTCTGAAACAGATGGGAGCCAAACAGCAGTTTTGTGAGTGCCTTTTTAAATTGTTATGAGCAACAATTATTTGCATCTTTACTGCAAAATTAATGGATTTTATCACTATGTGTGCTAACTTCTTCAGCTCTGCAGCTCTAAAAGATACAGTGTCATCTAAGGGTCAGTTAGGTGAGATATCTGGTCACCAAGCAGATTATGATTTTAAGCCACAGGAAGGATATTGCTCTGTTGTAACTGAAGATGCAATGACTCGAGGATAAACTGTACTAAACTCTGTCTGACTGTTAGCTAAAGACAACCAATTAAATAAACTTTCTTTTGAAATAGGAATATCAAGAGGATAAGAATGACCTGGTCATTCACAACACTGAACTCAAGCAAGTGGCCTACATTTTTAAGTGTAACAAATCTACACTTCAGATAAAAGGAAAAATCAACTCAATTACTATTGGTGAGTAGGTAGTTCAGCTGGGCTTTAAGTGACAATTTTGAAAAATCTGATTTACATGATTAATAATGCATCTGAATCATTCCATTCACTTTAATGATTGATCATGAGAGTAAAGTCACTCAGCAATGCAGTGCAGGACTGGGAATTTTTGTAGTTAATGTAGCAGGTGTATTTGCTTTTGTCTTGCCTTTCTTAATTATGATTGCTTTTATTTTAGACAACTGCAAAAAGTTTGGCCTTGTGTTTGACAACGTTGTGGGAATCGTGGAAGTGATCAACTCCAGGGATATTCAGATTCAGGTAAATATCTAACAGAGATGAAGACAGAAAAAGTGGGGGAGAAAAAAGCCCAACATGTAGTTACAGGAGTTTAAAAACTCACAGAGCACAACAAAAGTAAGAAGTAACCAATTGAATCTGTATATGCACTAAATTCTGCTGTTGTTTTTAGAAGATGTTTGTAAGAACTATTTACTATCACTGAACAAAACTCCCGTAGCCCAGTGCCTTCTGGTTCTGGTGAAGCTGAGAGATCTGGCAGAACTGTTACTTCTGTCCCTGATCTGCTTGCTTTCATGCTAAGCAACTCCCAGCACTTGAAAGTTCAGTGGTGCTTACAGAAGAAATTCTAGCAGTTAGCTAATGGATTTCTAAGTGCACAAGATTTTTTTTTGTTTTCTTTTCCTCTCAATAGAAATGTTCAAACAGACTGTCAAAGGACAACTAATTTCTATGCAGTAGAAGTAGGTGCTGGGATTTCAAAAAATCTCTCTGGCCAGTGACGTGACACTATATAACTAAGCAATGTACTATTTTGCCTTCAAAAAGCTTCATCAGAGATCATCTTCCTTGTGATTCTCATGAAAAGAAAATACACGTATTTTAAATATATACATTGCCCTCTCTACTGGGGACATTTGTCCTGCTCAGAATATACAGTCTGCCTGACATTAACAGCACTTCAGTCATCCCATTCCAAAGAGGTCTAACTACCTGCTTAATACTGGGTTTTGTCTGACACACATAATGTAATCTCAAGAAGGAACTCCAGGACGTATTATTTTAAGTGAAAAAGAAATGTTAATTATTATATTAAACTGCCACTCTTGAAAGTGAGGTCTTTTTCTTAAGAGGTTGTACTTGCTGTATGACATTAAATATAGGCAGTCCTGCTCCATGCTTCAGAAATAATGGTCACAGGCACCACAGGGAATAGGAGCAAGATGGGGTTTTTATATTTTGAACCTTGTGCAAGTGACTGACATTGCTACCAACTGTGCATTATCTTCTGAACTGTAACAATCAGTTTTATTCTTGATCACTACCTGTCTTTTTGCAGCAAAGGCAGTTAGTTAAGGATCCCAGGCACTTATTTGAGCAGTTTTAAAATAATTATATTATTTTTAATCATTACCTCTTAAACTGTTCATGAAAGCTGAAAAATTCAAAAACGTATGTAATGGATAGCAAAACCACAGTTTGCTAATACTAAAATAAAGCGGAAATGCCTTTTATAAGAATCAAAATTCTTAGAATCAAAATTAATCGTGTTCTATGAATATTGCATAAGGCTTCTATGCACGTCATGGAGCAGAGTGGGGATCCACTTAAGAAGGCAGGGTCTGGTTATATGCTGTATGCTGCTCAAATCAGGCAGCTCCCACAGGACTGGTGTATGCCAAGTGCTAAGCACCTCAGCTTTCTCAGTAATTTGAAGACCTGAGTTCATAATGTACAAATACGTGATATAGATTTCAGTAAATTAATCCTAAGGATTTTGCTATAGTGACTTCAGTGCCATATTGCTTGTCTCTCCTTTATCTCAGTAGTATCTTCTTTTCTTGCCAGATATTTGCAAGAATTTTTAAACACCCCTTCCTTCTGTTCTCCATTGCATAAGAGCTAGTTGAAGAAAATGAACTTTAAGATGCATTGATCCTCTGCGTAGCTCAAACTTCAGGATAAGGGTGGGATGCAAGAGGACAGACCACTTGGTTTACTGCCATATTTAAGGAGCTGAAGTTGAAAGATATTCTTTAATTAAAGTGATGGGAGACACTCTCATTAACAAGTACATCTCTGTCACATGCTGTCACATGTTCTATGGTTAAGGATAATCTCTGCTGTTTTGATGTCCAGAGTATATTGCCGTCCTTGCTAGAGAGGGAAGGAGCAGGAATTTTTACTGACAAACAGTGAGTCCAGCTGTTAGCCATGAAGAATTCTTTCAATCTGAAAATTGTAAACAATAGATTTCCCTTCCTCACCTCAAGTAAATCTTGTGTTTGTTCTTAAAAAGACATATGGAATAGATATTTAATTAAATTGATCTTAGTCCTTATTTAGAACTGTAGCTTACCTGAAGGGGACAAAAACCCTTTCCTGTTGCATGCTGCAAGAGCTTTGAAGTCTTCAGAGTGTATTAAAAATCCCTTGTCGAATACTACTTTATGCTGGGGTCTTTGCTCTTGCTGGGTTGAAGTTGACATGTTTGACTTATTAAAGTCTCACTAATGAACAAGGTGAACACTGCCTAAATATCAGCAGAAAAGTATCACTGAAATTAGAGCAAATCAGAGAAGTACTGTCATCTAACTGTGTATTAAAAGCTTGCTGTATATTACAGATTTGTTGTTGTGTATAGGTCTTTGTTACCACCACCAAGAATTTTCAGTGTCCAGCAAATCAAATCAAAGCAACACATAGGCAGGTGACACATAGATCAGATGCTGGTGGTCAAAATTAGACCTAGAAGGCAATGAGGATTTTATTAACAATATCTCTGTTTGCATTTTAAGATTTGATGTTAAGTAGATTTTATTTTGCAGGTGATGGGGAAAGTGCCAACCATTTCTATTAATAAAACAGAAGGCTGCCACATCTACCTCAGTGAGGAGTCATTGGATTGTGAGATTGTGAGTGCCAAGTCATCTGAGATGAACATCCTCATTCCCCAAGATGGTGATTATGTGAGTGAGATATTTTTTTTAAATTTCCTTTCTGTTCCATACTAGTCTTAGCAGTTAAAAGCACTTAAGCTGCTAGGAAAGAAACTGATGTAACATGCATATTATGTCACCAAAAAATGATCCAAAACTATTTAATTTCTATGTGCCTATATCTCAGGAGGAAGAATTCCTTATTTTCTTGGGCACAAAGTAATTTCAGAGGTCAGAAATTATGTCTTCTCTTTCCATTCTGATGGGTAATGGCTTCATGCTCTGTCCATTTGATCTTCTTTTTATATATCTAAACATAATCTCCCAAAGAAATTAACTTCACAGAAGAGTGCTTAAGTCTGAAGATGATGAGATTAAAACTAAGATAAATATAATACTACTACAGGTGAAATATTACAGTATAATATACTTGTTTTTTCTAAAGCTATTGATACATGGGTAGCAGCTGCAGTACTTTGTACTATTTTCAACATATGACCTTAAAAGACACTTGAACTGGTGCATTTTCCCAGTTCCTTTCCCGTTCTAGTAAAATTTTCATACTGCGCCCAGTGGCATTTCTAGTAAAGTCGTGCTCTGTAACTTCACACACAAGTAAGCGAAGTTTGCTCATAATAGTTCCCTGGTGTCCTCAACAGAGAAGAGTTGGAATTGCAGTGTGTGGCCATAGCCAAAATATAAATTTCTTGTTAGTCTTTTGAGCTGGAATTTAGTACAGGGGTTTAGTCTTTATAAAATATGTAATGAGAATTTTTGTGCTTCACATTTCCAAAAGTGACTGCTGGATGCCCAGCTTTAGACTAGTAAAAAGGGAACAATTCTTAGTGGGTGTATATTCACCTATTCGTTTTCAAAAAAAGAGTCCTTTTGGTCAGTCTCATCTCAAAATCACCATAACATCAGAAATTACTGGCTGTCAAAACACCTCTTTGAGGTCTGAATGAAAAACCCTTCTCTTCATGTAATTTTTTGTTTACTGGGTACAGAGAAATACTCAACATTTCCCATCATTTCACTGAATTTGTAGACTGGAAGGGCACTCTATTTGATGTTCTGCTTCATTTTGTGTACCCCACAAAGGATGCTGACTATTTTGAAGTGTATCACACTTAAAATTATTGGGGTTTTTAATTTTATTTTATTCTTCCCTATTACAGTATTGCTTTTGTCCTTAAAATTAGACTCCTGGCTTAATCTCCACATCTAAATCCTCTCTACTGTCTTCCAACCCAGACACCAATGGAATCTGAAGTCTTTTCTGACATGAGGCTTATTTACTTAGTTGATGCAGATAATGGTGTGAGAGGGATTATTGCAAAGTAGTACCATACCAAGGCTATTTGAAACTGGGTAGCAATCAGGCTTTTTCCTGTGTGGCATTGTAAAATAGCTTCCTAGGGTAATGAAGAAGGCTTCTCTCTAATCCTGGCATGTCTGAGCTATCAATGCTTTCGCAGTCATGTAGAACTAATAGTATTCCACCAGTTTTTATGAGATATCCCCTGTTTGTTTAACCATCATTGTTGCTTTTGTTTCCTACCAGAAAGAATTTCCGGTTCCTGAACAGTTCAAGACAGCATGGGATGGATCTAAGTTGGTCACTGAACCTGCAGAGATTGTGGGTTGACTTCCTCACGCCATCAAGCACTTGCTGACCGTGGCCAGACTGTGGCCAGCACACACAAAGCAGTAATGTAAAGAACTAGAAGTAGCAGGAGTTCATGCTGCTGTCATAGGCCTTCAAGCATTAGCTCTGCATGCTAGGAACAATAACACATCTGACACCCTTTTGTTAGGCATCCCAGTCCTGGTCACATCTCCACACAGTTTGCCTTCACATACAATTTGAATTCTGAATGGGAATGTAATAGGTTAAACCCCCCCACCTTCCAGTCACATCATTGGTTTGAAATACTGTATACATTAAGCCAACATACTGCATGATACACTTTTTTTATCATCTTGCTTCAGTGCATTCCTTTTTGTGTTTCTGCTAATCAAAAACAGCATTAAGACTTTAAGGTGTTAGTTTTTACCTATTAAGCAATTCCTGTATGATGCAGTAAAAATGTACCTGTAGAAATTGCAGTTTCATGCAGTTCTGTGGCAATCATAACATGTTTCATTTTAAACAAGCAAAAAAGGACAACTTTTAGCACAGCAATACACTTTGCTAACTGAATATTTTATTCTTTTTTAAATCTGATAATTTAATCAAAACCATTTCTAATATGTGTATTTAGAAGATCCCACAGTTTTCAGTGAAGTAAGATTTTATTATGGTTCACAGACTTGCTGTTTCCCCCTCATTTCTTGCAAATTAGGAATTCTTTCTAAGATAGGGCCTCATCAATGCTAAAATCTTGCAGGAAATTACTTGAAGGTTTTTTGCTCCTTGGATTTTTTTTTTTTTTATTTTTTTGGTGACACAATCTCTCACATTTTAAAATTTCATATTTTATCTTGCATCTTATACAGAAAACCAGGGAGGACAGACACATCTGATACCAGCTAGATTTTCTTACTAATTAAGTTCCTTTAAAATACTAGCTCATTAGTTCATTAAAATGTAGCTCATCATGTTCATTAAAAGCATCATCCTGGGGGTTTTTTCCCCACTTTTGTAGGACTTACTCAGTTTCAAATATGACAAAGCAAAGCCATAGATTTATGCCATACTAATTCTGAGCCCAGATAAAGGAGTAATTTCCTCTTTAGGCCTTTACAGTCCCTACTTTACAGTCCCTATGCTTTTTTTAACAAAGGTGGAAAATTGTATACATTTGTACTATTTCAGCACATAGTATGAAAAAACTTAAAAAATTTTAGAAGTCAGCTTATGTTTTTGATCACTTGTAATATTTTTCACTCAGTGAAATCACAGTAAGATGCTTGCAGAGCTAGTTACAAGCTAAATTTTGTGCCTAACTTACCTTGAAAGTACATTAACTCTTAAGGGTTTTTAAGTATATCTTTGATTGTAAACCCTACACAATACAACCAGTAGTGCTCATTCCTTACGGTTTTGCTATCTGATGTTTAACCTATGTGTATAATGTGTTTGCTTTAATATATATCATTTTTTCAACAGTAAACTTCTTATGAAATAAAAAGGAAAATGTACTTGTTTAAAAACAAAGTTGTTCAGAGCTTACTTTATTGCACTGTTTGTTCTACAGGCTTTCTCTTCCTTAAACCCTGTTCTTCAAAAGCTGAAGTGAGAAAAACGTCTAAATGTAAATAGCTTTTTTTCCTATGAAAAGCTTCAATGGATGTCAAATGTTCTTAAATAGAATAGGGTGCAAAGAGGGGGGAGCCAGGCTTTCTTCAGGGGTGCCCAGTGACAGGACCAGAGACAATGGGCACACACTGAAACTCAGTACATCAGGAAACTGCAATTTTCCTGATTTCAGGTGCAAGCGACCGACTCTAACATGGGTTGCTCAGAGAGGCGGTGGAGTCTCCATCCTTGGAGATATTCTGAAGTCCCATGGTCATGGTCCTGTGCAACTGGCTCTAGGAGGCCCTGCTTGGGCAGGGGGCTAGGTGAATTCCAGAGGTCCCTGCAAACCTCAGCCCTTCTGAGTTCTGTGATACTCACATAGTTGTTTAGAATACTAGTTACTAAGAACCCATGGAAATTAGAAGCATCGAGGTAGTGACTGCAAGTACCCACCAGATGGCAGGAAAAAGCCGAGGCCAGGCCTTCGCAAGATTTAATGACAACCTGCGGGACTGCAGCGTTTACAAAGGACATGAATGCTGTTTGCCAAGGAACCGCGGAATTCTTCCCTCTAAAAGTCACTGTAAAAATACATAATATTACTTTGAAATTACCATCTTGGTAAAAGGTAATGGTTTGAGTGGGATGAACAAGGAACAATCAAAAATAACTACTTTGTTTTTTTTTAACCCTGCTGAGCATATCTCCATTTTAAAAAATACCTGATTGAACTTAAAAGTAATATTTAACAGAGCCATTGAAGATAAAGAAGTAAGTAATTTCAAATCTGTGTTCGAAAACCAGAAATGTTTTCCATGTGCTAGAGAACTAGGCATTAGTAAGGAAGTAAAGGCTTCCCTGTGCCATAGTTATTTTGCAGACAAAACATTTTTGTTCTTACTCTTTCCTGAATCCTCAACATATCTAGATCTGCATGAATTCCTTCGATGTTCCTGCACTGTGTATTCATCACCCTGTGCCTCACATATCTTTCCTAGAGACCAAACATTTGTTCATTTGGAATACTTCAGGGGCTCAATTCAGTGTGCACCCTTACTGCACTCTCCTGATGTGCTGTTCAACTGGGCTCCTTCTCAAATTTGGAAGCTTCCAGACAAATGGAGGTTAGGTTGAGTCAATCACACAATATGCTAGCAAGCACAGCAGTTATCAAGAACATACAAAGCAGATTCAATTTCCCTTCTAAAGTGATCTGGGCCCAACTTCTGTGAAAATATTGCCCAGAAGTAATTACTGCTCTCTGAAGATGCTTATAAACAGGTGCCTGACTTATGATCCCCCTTTTATTAGATAAAAATCATAAATAATGCTCCCCAAGGAATGTTCTGACTACCAGAAGACAAAAACCTGCTCCGTCTTTATGGCTGAAATAACCGTGAAAAATATTTTTGTGTGCCAAAAGTTTTGTAGAAAAACAGAGAATATTCCCTACTCCACACTTAAAACTCAGTGGTGACTTCCTAGGTTTAACCTTTCTTCCCTAGGTTGTGCTGCATACTGAGGACCCTACCTGATCCACTGATCCTGTTGACCACCAAAGACTCTTACTCTCCAAAGCCACAGTCCCACTGCTGCTTCAACAGAGCCACCACCATATTTCCTCCCTGGGAAGAGAAGGGAATGCAACAGAGAAGGGAGTTAGGTAACTGCTAAAGCTTCCCAGTGCCACGTTCCTGAGTAAAGCTGTTTTGTTGTTACTCTTCCTTCAAACAAGGCCAAGACAAAAGGCAGAAGGCAAATAAACAAGACAGTACTAATAAAACTGGCAACCACACAGAAAACGTATGTACCCTAAGATAAAAGTGGAAAAGTTTCTTCGGTTTTTTTTTCCTCCGGCTGATTTGCTATGACCTTTTTATCAACTGTGACCACCGGGATTCTGTTTTCTCTGTATTCCACTTGAAGTTGCATCTATTAGAAATAAATTACCTCAGTCAATGAGTAAGGCTTTAGAGCCAATCCCTCCTTCAGGTTCCATAGATGGATGAGACAGATCAGTTTCAGAGTGAAAGGCTAAATTAATTTAATTTGGGAGAAATTTGTACCATTTTCACAATAAATGTATAACATTTACATTATATTTATGTAAATGCATACATGGTTTTTGGCTCAAATTTCATGTTCTGTATCTGGCTGCTTGCCCCAACAAGGAGGAAGGTTCTCACTCTTTGGTGACTCTGTATAGTTTCAGTGATGAATAATCTCTTTAACCATCAATTGCATTTAATTTCACTCTGTACATGAACATAAATACTCAATACAAATGTCTAAATAGCATGAATTGTAGCTGCTGGACCCAACAATAATTAACTACTTTGCAATGACAAGAGCTTGTTGTTGATTAATGTCCAACAACTCTCATTCAAGGACTCTTTAGAAGAGCTCCTATTATTAGAATATTTCAGCATGATGCAGGAGATGTGATCTGCTATCCACTGAGCAAAGAAAAGAACTGAACTTCAACCCCTCGGCAATTCCCCTGTTTTAAAAGTGGTTTAAAACCCTTGACAACAAGATGCTGGGAGGCATATAAAAAATGAGCAGAAGTACAAAGGTCTGTAGCTCTGTACAACAGCCAGATTTACAGCACACCAGAGTTCAATTACCTCCTATTAACCCTGAAGTATTCCCCACTCAAGAGTGTATCTGATCAGGTTTTTCAGCATTACCTACACTTAAAGAGCTTAAGGTGGGATTCCAGATTCCCCTTAAACCTTAACTATTGTGATACCAGCTTTTAGGTGCTTACCACCTTCCTTTGATCTAGTTCAAAACATTCTCTCTTGCCTAAATCTCATTTCTAGGGAAGAGGATATTTAACTGCCAAGGCATTCAACTACTTTCTTTCATCGACTGGTACAGTGAGTTGCCCACCCACAAAAGAAAGCAAAGTAGCAAGAAATCGGTGCTGCAGAAAACTGTAAATACAGCCCTGTGTGGCAATCTGACAGAGCAATGAAACAACACCCTCTGCCATCAAAACTCTAAGCTGTGAGTTTCTCACTACTGGCAAGCCCTGTTGTCACAGCATCTCTGTCATACGCATCCCAGAATAGAAAAATCTGAATGCTCACAGAATTTGTGGGTCAATTGTGGGTTGTTTTTTGGGTTTATTAAAGCAGAAGAATGAAAAACTAGTAGCTGAAGAATTTGGGCATGAGGAAGCATTACATTGTTATCTGTTAGTCCCCTGCTTTCTACTGTCAGTGATTGTGTTTCACCTTGACTATCCAGAATAATCTCAGTGAGTTCTAACTATGGTTATGCTGCTGCTGGTGAGCCTACAATTTACATGTGACTGGCAGCATTATATGAAGTCTCTGATATCTTGTAATTGTACTTTAAGATCTGATCTGGCTTTCAAAACCTGTGGCCACAGAGACACAAAAAAAAATAATAAAAATATATATATATATATATATATATAATAAGGGCTAGATACTCCTTGATCCTGAAGGGTTTGTGGTAAAAATCAAATTAAATAGACTGTTTTTATTAAATTATTTATTTTATTAAATAAATTAAATAGACTGTAACTCATGAATGAAGAAATGAAATATTATAAGGAAGGAAGTCTTGTTATATTACATTTATTGTCAGTTTTCCAAAACAGTTTTTCTATTAGGAATTAATAGATGGTTTAAAACCATGTTTTTGTCTTTACATTTGTCTATCTTCCCTCCTTTCTTCCTTCCTAATCATGCTAAAACTTGCTGTGTTTCCTTAAACATTTACTCTTACTGATTTCACCAAGGTCTATATTACAAAACATGCCAGTGTAGTTGTATGGGTCACTATTTGATAATCACTTTGGCAATTCACCTCAGCTTGCTTGTATTAGAGACTGACTCCACACAAACTTCTGAGACTGAAAGAGTGGAAATTTCTGTTAGATACAGGGGTAGAATTCTTTACTGTGAGGGTGGTGAGGCACAGGTTGCCCAGAGAAGCTGTGGATGCCCCAGCCCCTGGAAGTGTTCAAGGCCAAGCTGGATGGGGTTTGGAGCCACCTGGGCTAATGGAAGCTGACCCTGCCCATGGGGCAGGGATCTTTAAGGTCCATTCCAAACCAGGCCATTCTATGATTCTATGATCTTATGAAATTACTTCACTTTTTAAAAATTAGTTACGGTTTAATGGGAATACTGTACAACAGGTTCAGCTGTGACATTTGCTGTCTTCCACACGGGAGACATTCCGGGTTCACAGTACGTATTTCTTGTTAATTCAGTATTGAGTATTGAGCTGTGCTCTCTGTCAGACAGAATTCTGACAGAATTCGGTCTGGTCGACATGCTTAAGAGAACACTGAAATCTTAAAGACTAAAAGTTAGTTTGAAGAACTGTGTTTAAACTTGCTGCTGGTTCTCTGTTCAGCATTTGAGGGGAGCAAGTCCTGTGGAGGAGCGGCTGAGGGTGTTTAGCGTGGAGGCTCAGGGGTGACCTGATCGCTCTCGGTGATTACCTGAAAGGAAGGTGTAGCCAGGCGGGGGTCCGCCTCTTCTCCGAAGAGTTTCAGATTGGACATTAGGAAGATTTTCTTCACCGAAAGGATGATTAGACATTGGAATGGTGCGCCCAGGGCGGTGGTGGAGTCACCGTGCCTAGAGGTGTTTAAGGAAAGCCTGGAAGTGGCTCTCAGTGCCCCGGTCCAGTTGACAAGGTGATGTCGTCATAGGCTGGACTCGACTACAGAGGTCTTCTCCAACCTAAATGATTCTTTAGATTATTTTTC